GTACAATATATAGATGGGTGGACTCAGAGGTGCCCAAAGTTCCCGAAATTAAAAATCCCAGTCTTCACCAGGATTTGGACCCAGGACCCCCGTTCTGAAGCTTTACCGCTCATCCACCATGCCTTCTTCAGTTGAAATCTAGTTCAGATAAATGACAATGGTATAATTTTGGCTTTCATCTTTTTAAGAAACATCAGTATATTCATTGCAAGACAATGGTGCTTGTTTTGACTTTTAGACACCAATCTGTACCTTTCATTTCAACACCAATAAGTTTACTCATCAACAATGTTTATTAACAATTAACATTTTTGATCACCAATATTTAAACAATCAATATTTTGAACAACAACATTTTGAATCATCAACATTTTAATCATTGACATTTTGAATCATTTTGTTTGTTAACATTTTGTGTCTGAATCTTTCAGAACTCTCACTGATATAGCCATGAGGGCACACAAGAGCGCCATCTACCAAGACGTGCTGAAGGAGAGCCCCCTGCTGTCTGAGATGGTGGACACTAAGACCATCTACATCAATGCTGATGCCCAGGGCAAGACTGTGTCCAGAATGCCAGTCTCCCCCTCCCCTTTATGACACAAGACACCTTTAGCTAGCGGCTACCATCTCAGTTTCTTACAGTTGGACTTTGTGTGCTACTGTCATCTTGTTGACATGTCATTTTGTAGCTGACATCTATAGGACTTGTATTCTCATTAAGCCTTTGGATTATCATCAAATTCATATATTTCTTTCTCTTGGCATTTAGTTGAAATTTTCTCCATTCAAATCGTGCCAAGTAGATATAATAGGATCAACAAAGCAACAACAGCGTTGGTGTCCCTGAGAAGCAGCTACGAGTCAAATGTTTATGAAAGTGTTAATGTGTTTTTCATTTAGTATACATGTACTTACCACAGTCTACTTTTCCCAAGAGGTCAGATATTTATATAACATTTGAAGTACTAAAACAAATGTCAATAAACCATTTAAATTCCACTTTTCAGCCAATCATTGGTCAAGTGTCCAGCTAAAGTTTCTCACCCTTCACTCTCCTCCCTCCCTCCAACAAAAAAAAATTGTTTCAGGAAAAAAAAGGTAGAATTTTCCAGAGTCTTGAGGATTGAAACATTTAAGTTTTAATCATTTGTGATATTATGTGAAAACTGACTTCGTGGTAATTCTGAAATGTCCATTCTTACTGTTTCAGCTGTTTTATACCCTTCTATTTGCATTTTTTTTAAGTTGTTGAAAAAGAAATGTGAATGAATTATTTTGATCTAATAATTTTAGTCACAACTAAAAAACATTATTCGTTTTTTTGATTAAAAAGAAAATCCATATTGCATGGTAAAATTTGTTATCATCGAGATACTGGAGATGTCCCAGAGAAGCTAATGTCAATATTGATATTGATTAAATCTGTGAAAGACGCCATTTGTTTCTGATGTCATATGGTTGTGGCCAATACTGATTAGTGATACAGTACTCTCTTGGCTTTAAATCTCTTCTTTCAATGTAATAATTTTTTTCTTCTATTTTTTATGTGTTTATATTTTCCTTCAATTTTTTTTAAGTAATTAATATTTCGAGTTGTTGCTTATGTAAGGAAAAAACATTTTTATAGCAAGCTACACAAAAATAATTCTTAGAAATAATATTATTGAACTGCCTGCTTTGGTTGGAGGATTTTTGGTCTCGATAGTATGAGGAAGGGCAAATCTTTTTATAGAAACAGTTTTGTTATATTTTTTTTGTCGGCAGGGAGGATCATTATAATTTTAATTTTAACTTTATTAGTTCTCTTTTGTTTTCTTTGAAATGTTATTTTTTTAAATTACAAAATAGTATATATGATCTTAACACTTTTTCCAATTATTATCAGAAGGCAGTCTTAGTCTTACTTGTATTAATTATGGGAAATTGAAAAAGGAAAAAGGAAAAGCAAAATAAAAATAACTTAAAAGCTTTCAAAATGAGCTTTGACAATTATTTTTTATTGTAAATTGTTTTTCTTTCTTTTTTTTTCAAAGCAATATTATTTCCCTTTCTATGTGTTAAAATAGACTATTGAAAAAAAATGACAACAATAAAATCTTATGGAGCTGCATATGTACACTTAGCTGTCAAACTCTGTTCACAGGTTTAAATCTTTGTTGGAATTGAAATTCTTTCTCAGGGACTATCACAACAAAACAGACATTAAAATCTTGTTGTGCTTAGTTAGGATTTAAGCTTGCATGATTCAAATTAGAATATTGGACTTATAAATATTTTTTTTGATATTAAAAGTATTTTTTTCCCAGAATAGTAATCTATAATTTACAATATATATTAGTAGTGTAATAAAAATACTTTTATTGCCTTCAATATTCCCACCTTAGATTTTTTTTTATAGAATATTTATTCTTCTAAGCAAGATTTAAATTGGTATCACTGGGGTTTCTACAGCCAGTTAATAATTTCTTTTTACTGTAGTTTATAATATTGTAAAATAATACTTTTAAAAGTAATAGTTACTATTTGTATCAAATTAATACTTATTGAGAAATTCATAAAAGGCAGCTTCTGTGTTGCAGCTATGTACTTTTGATTTTCTGTTCACATTGGTTTAAAAATATTTTACAAGTCAGAAAATAAAATGTTTACAGGATTTTATGTCATTTAAAGACCTCACTGTGGTTGACACATTTTTAGAATGTAGACTTTTCTGGGGATGAATTTGTACATTTTCTTTTTTAAAAGGCTGTTCTTTTAAAGTGTATGAACATTGTTATTGGCTGTAGCAAAATGGCATTTCAAAAGAATGTTTTAAAACTTTTTGAAAAAAATTCTTCTTTTAATGAAATTGTGTATTTTAAATTGAGATTTGTTCCCCCACACCCAGAAGTATGGTAACTGACATTAAGATTGGATACACTTAAATGTTTTCATTGCAATTGGTTCTTCTTAAATATTTAGGCTCTGTTTCTTAGTAGATTAATTACAATTATAGAAAGACACAAGAAAAATTAAGCAAACTAGATTACTCTGTGCAAAAAAAAAGAAACATTTTAAAGATTCTAGGATTTTTTTTTAAAATGGTTTTTCCTTTTAAATTTGATAACATAAATATTTAGTTCTGTTTGGTTTGTAAGTGAATGAACATTTCTGTTAAATATTCTTTTTTTTCTGATTGTAATTAGTTTAATTTCAAAATGTTTTTCTTTTTTTTGCTGCATTCATCTGTTACCTACACACTACATAATGTCAGGAGTATATTTAATTTGGCTTTCTATCATATCTTGAGACACATAAATCAGAAAATCTGACCATCATTCAAGGTTTTCAGTAATTATTTCCATGTTGTCCAAACTTACACACCACTACCAGAAAGATAAGTTTGCTTATGTAGTTTAGTTTGTGGCTTTTTAATGTTAAACCCAATAATTCACTTTTTAAAAATTCTTTAGGTACTATGTTCAGTATTGATACATTATCACTAAAGATTTTATGGATTTTAAATTAAATCTAGATTCAGTGCTATAATTAAGGTATAGCATAGTATTTTTTTACTTCTAATCATTTTTTTTGCACTTAAAGAAAATAAAATGTAACATATCTTTTATCAGTGAGAACTATGTCACTATTTGGAATGAGTTGTAAGAGATGTAGAGGAAGCTCTTTATTGAAATGTTAATTGCTCTAGTATCACAATCATTTTATTTTATAAATACTTGCCATTTTTAAAAAAATATTTAAAAAAAAATAGATTCTTAAATTCATAGGCACACAAACAGACTTTGTTTGATTTTAAATCTGACATTTATTTAGATATTAGGAGAAAAACAATCTCTCTATAAAGGAGATCATGTCATTTAAAAAAAGTGTTTTTGATGTTGTTTTTTTTTATTTTTTAGTAAACATAAAAAAAAAAAATTAGGCCTAAAACTTTTTCTCTATGATCCTTGTATTTTGATGTTTTGCATTGTTACAGCATCCGGTGTTTTTTTTTTTTCTAGCATTTGTTTTTGTTTTATCGTTTAATTTTGTTTTATGTGCCATATTATAGTAATCATAATGCTATATTCAAAACAAGTCTTTCCTAAAAAATGTTTGTAATTTTTATATTGTTTGTTCTGACAGGTGGTCATTTAATTTAACATTTACACATAAAAATATTTGTAAATAAAAATACAATTTAAAGGAAAAAAATAGCAATAACAATGATAGCTACAATTATAAACAAACTTAATTTTGTTTTGTATTTTCTGTCAGGCAATGTTTTTTATAATTTATTGTCCCAAAAACATTTAATCAGTCCTAACATAAATATTCAAATGACTTAACATTTAATTAAATAGAAGCAAAATAATAATAACTATGAAATATTTTTATTTTATTTGAACTTATGTAAATGCTGACATTATTTTGTTTTGAGAAGTAGTTGAATATTTTTGCCTTGTAAGCTGTATAAGCTATGGACTGTCATCAGTTCTGTGGATTTGGCAACTGTTCAGCATGTCAACATTTTCTATTTAGGCTAGATGGTAATAATCATATCTGAGGAAACCTTTAAAATGTACAATTCTAAATAATATTAAATACTTTATTCAACAGTAACATAAAGATTAATCAATTAGACTTTGAAATCTAAAAATGTATGTAAGCAATATTCAATAAGAGAATATGTCAAATGTCTTTCAAGTCTAGCACCCAAAATATTAGTATCTGCATAGGATCTCTATTAATCAAGTAAAACCACAGATATCAATGTAATATGTTAAGACACCACATTCAAATATTTTAAGTCAATACATTTTTAAAAATCTTTCTTTCCATATTATAAAATTGTCTAAAATAACTAAATATTTACTTAGTGACTTTTATGTGTAAATTAAATTCTATGACCTTGAATATCCATAATTTATTATAATATTTAGACCTAGTCTTCTATATTATTGTAATTATCGATAGCTAAAGTTGTTTTAAAGAATAAATACTAAACACATGTTTAAAAAATGTCTATCTTCATAACAAAAATAAAATGTAAAGATGGTTTGTATTTATTGTTCTCAAGTTATTTTTCTATAATGTAATTTTAAATTAACCCATTCTAAGCAACCAAATAATGTTTTTACTAAATATCCATGTGAAATTTATGTTTTTAATTGATATTGAAATAACTTTTTTCCACAGCTTAATATTTCTATATAAATTGTTAACCACCAATTAAAATTTTTTCATGTTAGACATATTATAATGTTTCATGTTCAACATACTGTTATCTTTGTGTCAAGTAAAATTCATTGGTTATTCTGCTTCTCACTGCCTTACCTGTTAGATTCATGTTTTTCAGTTAACCGAACCTGTCATCAATAATAAATACATTAAATGTGTGTCAAGTTTCCCATGTTAGTGATACAAATCTTTTGATTCATAGAGGCATGGTCTTGGCATGAAATTAAGGGTTGTCAGTTGTAGTGGTTTTTGTGGTTTTTTTTTTATAGTCACCACTATTTGCATAAATATCTTTTATTTTCCACTGCTTCTCTGTGATAGTTGTTCATCTTTGATTCCAGTTGTCATAAGAATTAATGTGATTTAGTTTCTTTTGAAATATTCATTTCATTTCCCTAGAAATGGTTGATTAAAGCTCTTATAAATGGATGTAGAATAAAGGGGGGAGGAAGAGATTGAGAATTGATTTCATGTTCCATGGTATTATTTCGTATTAGTAAGAAGTCTAACTTGATGTGATGGTTCTTCCTTGTGTAATTGAAATCTGTTTTAATAAAGACAAAAATCCACCTCGAAAGGCAACAAGGTGTCCGGATTGAATTTCGGGAATAAAAATGTTTCAAACAGTTGGCATCATTTATTTTCACATATCCTAGATATAATGCTGTTATTATTACTATAAAAATGAATAACTCTCATTCTTAGGAACAGCTAGGGTCGAGCTTCTTTAAATGGAAACAAAATTCTTTGTAGTAGCCCCCTTATTTGCATTTCATCACCATAGAATAATATTGTTTAGGTTCTGTGAGGATTTGTTTCAGTACATTTAGTAGACATCTTGAAAGCAGCGTCAGAATCCCCCCCTTTTTTTTAACCCTGGCGTAAGGTCTGTCTGGTACCGTGTTTTCCTTCACTCGATAACATCTATATATTTTTTAGACCCTCCTCCTCTGATTCTCTCTACCTACTCGAGAGTTTGTTTCCTTTGATCGCACATCTCAGGTTCCGTAATTTGCTCATTCCCCCAACTCTGGAGTTTTTAAATACATATTTTTGACAAAGTGATATAACTGCAATATCTTTTTTTTTAATTAATTCATTTTTTTTAAAATGGAATATTGAAAGATAACAATGTCTTTGATAATCTTCTCTTATTGTCTGCTACACTGTTAATTTTATCATTAGATTTCCTGTCACGTTTGTATTATGGATTTGGTTTGTATTCAATCTGTCTACGGGAGCATCGTCACTTACTGTAGCAGTTTTGTTTTGTCATGATTTTAAATACGTTTTTTATTAAGATCGCTCTCTATTTTTTTTTTCTTGTTTTTTTTTTTTTTGTCACCCATTTTATAGGTTTTTTTTATTGGAGAGGTGGGGTGAGTAAGGGAAAAGAATTGAGACAAGATGGCCGCTCATTGTATCCACCAGAGGGCCTCCTCGTTATAATATACACTTTTTATATTAAAATATAACCAAAAAAAAAAGGGGTAAAGAAAATTTAATTTACAAGTACCTTTTTTGCATTCGCAAATATGTGATTTCTTTTAGATTTTGTCCATTCCAAATGAAGCTTCGAAAGGGTAAAAGACCCCACAAAAAATTCTACCCACTTACAAAAATCGGCCCTGGGTGAAGCTTTTATTTTCTTTGTACTATATTGGATATAGACCATACATGAAATGATTGCATAAGACAGTGATAACCAAACTTAATCGGGCAAGCTGCCTTATTCATTTCAGAAACTCGAATCACGGGCTTGATTTCTTAATTTCATTTCCCTTTCGTCTTTAAGAGGCTGACCCACAGGGTCCCCCCTAAGTTTGTGCAACTCCATTATATATATATATATATATAAGGCTTGTCTTTGACTCTGAAGATTAATGTGGAATGCAGTATTTCCAGTGGCTACCCAGCCCCAGCTGTGACCTTCATATTTTACCTCATCCAGGGCAAGCATAGCCATATAGCCTAAATAAATGTGTGTGTGTATATATACATTTCATATAAAATAGAATGGGTCACAATGAAGACTGTAAGTTCTATGTTATTAGTATTATTATGCAAAATAAAAGGGAAATGGGAATGAACGAGAGACTGCTTCTATTGCCTTATATTATACAGAAAACTCGCTCCTGGATGTTTTTGTCCCAATTAGATATGCTCTCATCATATGTTCTTTTATGTTTGTTTGTTAACGACATTGACTTAATGTTCGTGTGTGTGTTCATCTAGTGGAGTAAAATAAATCTATTCTCAAACCACGCTGAAATGGCCACTGTATGGAATGATTGTTTATTGTTAACAGAAACTATATAACTATTCATGTGAGAATTACATTTTTCAAGTGAAACTTTATTGAGTGGAAGTGATGTTCAAATGAAATAAAATTTAATGCTGTTTATTGGGACAAAATGTCTTTTTTATTCGCTATTTGCTAATGTATTGTTTGCACTAACCTACATATTCAAAATTGATTCTAGCTCACTGTAACTCTTCCTTGTTCCTTTATAAAATTGCGATAACTTTTTAAAAAATCTGAAATGGAAATCGCAATGGATACATAAATCAGGCATTTCTCAATCATCGACAATCATCAAACTTCATGTGAGTGAGAGCTTGATGGGGCTAAAAAGGAGATAAACATCTTTCATGTTGCCTAATAATAATTTAAGTTGATGTGCCCAAAAATTGAGATTGAAATCAAACGATTGAAATCAAACGAGCCAACGAATAATACTGTTAGTTAAGTGATGTATAGAAATGGCATCAAAGTCGCATGCCATGGAAGCAAAGAATTATTTTCTAAACGCACAAGCAAAACCTTCCTTGGATAGTTAGAGGGCCTAGGCGATGTGAATTCGGTGGACCCACATGAAATAGAAAAATAAAATAAAGTGAAAAAAACATATTGCACAATTTGTTTTTAATATGCTCCAATAATAACATGGTGACAAGTTTCTCAGGTTATTCTGAAAAAAATAAATTTTAAGTCTTGTTTAAAGGCCTCCACCAATCGGGGACCTTTACGGCTACCTAATTTGTCTATGCCTAAGGCCGGCCCTGGTCCAACGCTCGATACAGTTTAATATATATCCTGTAGTGCCTGTTGCGTAGGTGAAGATCAGAAGATTGCATGCGTCTGTCCTTGCCTATTATCACTGGTGCTGAGTTAGATTTAATCGAACAGACGAACAAGATATACACAAGATTTGATGAACGTCAACTGAATAAATGAACTTCATATACAGAGTTCTAACAGTTGAATACAAAACGGGAACATTCAGTCCCAGTCGCTATGTTTTATATATTCATAATAGATTAAACAATGTCAAGGACGCTATTTTGAACCTGTTGGCAGCTAACTGAAAATTGATCTATAATTTGATTTTCCATTTGATTTGTGACGTCATTTTTTGTCGCGTTCACAGTTGGTCGCCTAAAGTGCGTCGCATCGTTAAAGAAGGCCTGAACACTTGACTGACCTGCTATGTCACAATCTGTGGGTAGTTTAGACCAATAGCTCGTTGCTACGTCCTACAGGTCAGTGTTGAGGCCTTCTTTAACGATTGGGCTCGGGAAGCGTGGTCGAGAGGCCAAGTGAGCTTGAACTTGGCTTGGCTACCTAGAAGGGGGCTCGAGGTTCGACACCCGACTCGAGCAGAGTTGTGTTTACTGAGCGCCTACAGGCAGCACGGAAAACCAACTCCTAGATACCCCGTTCCCCAAATGAGATTGGACCAAAGTGCTCTGAGCATGCTATAAGCATGAAAGTAGCGCAATATAAAAGCTATAATAATAATACAATAGGAAGCAACGTGAAGAGATATTAGACACTGTTTAATACTGAAATCAATTATGCGAATACGAATGGTGAATTGATTATGAAAATAATGAACTATTTAAATTTTTAAACTGTTTAGGCAGCTTGGCATGATCAGTGTCTCTCGTGACGTCAACTTGGCATTTTCTTTTCGACACCGGCCCCCATGAAGTCGTATAATCCAGGAAAGAAGAGCCCATAAAGCCCAGAGAGAAAGTTTCGGAGCTGACGTCATTTTCTGTTGGCGTGTCTTTGGCATGCGCATGCGCGCTACTTTGATATGATGTATTATATCCGTCCATTTTATTAGCAGGACCTGGCACGTGAGCTTCAGGGATTTGATGAAATGGCCGAGCTGTTTGCAGATCTGAGCTGATGAAGTGATAAAAACATTAAGTGAATCAGACGAACAATTTAACATGAAAGCAATACTTGAAACATTATCTTAGAGATCAGTTGATTTAGAAGTGTTATTCGGAACTCTGAAAAATGATACGAACACTGGCTCTTTCGACTAGCCTGCTGCAGGAATATACATGTTTCAAAACTAATTATTAATTTAAGTTGAATTTATGTTATTCTTCTTAGAAATATAAGAAAAAATAAGAAAAATATTTTAAATTGAATAAATTTAAAAATGTTTAATTTAGCAAAAATTAATCCTGCATATTTATGTAAAATTATCTCATTATATTCGTTGGTATTAGCAAATGCTGATTTTTTTTTCCTGTATTGATTTGTTTGACAACAGCAAACATTGGTAAAATAAAAATGAGACTGAAATGATCGAACCTGTTTGTATTGAAAACAGAGCCTGTTCTAGAGCGCTCATTTGAACAAGGAAACAGGAAGTGGCTATTGTTGTTCAAAGTGCTGGGCTCGGGCCTAATGTTGTGGCAGACTGGGGAAAGCTTTACAAGATAGAACAGAAGAGCATTGAATGGTGGAAATTACATGCAGAATCATGCTTTACAAAGAATAACTAATCAATACATGGTCGTTTTTTTTTTAATCAAGAGTATATTTGAATTGACGCCATATTGAACTAAACTGCTTATAATTATAGGAAATAATGGAGTAATGTATAGACAGGCGTTCGTCCACTAAAAGGCTACGTGTGAACGAAATTGAAAGAATAATGGGTTTTCAATTGTTTCATGTTATGTCAACCTTGACATTGTTTTTTAGATTAAACCAAATTACACACACACATATACGCGCGCGCATTCAGACAAAACTTATTATGTTTGCAATTTAAAACAAGAATATGGAGTTACACAAACTCGCAGGCGGCCCCTGAGCGTCATCTGTACTCAAACAGCGCATTTCACTCAAACTTTAACCACTATACCACACTCAATGGGCAAGAGCGCACGCAGGATTTTTTGCAGGGGGCGCAAGCTGCCATCTATGGCTCAAACTCTTTTTTATTACAGAGAATATTAAAGAAAAGAACTGGTGCCCCCCCCCCCCCCACCCCATACCTATGCGACATTAAGTTCACTGTAAATACTTGTTTCATGAAATTAATAAAACTAACATGTGAACAAACTATTGACTGTACACGTTGGTCAGTTTCTCCGTGCGGCCCGTGCATCCCAACGGTCGATCAAACAAAAAATGCAAGCGTTGCCAAAACTGTCATTAATATTACTACTGAATTGCTTCTCGTCGCAATGGACAAGCCGGCGATGAGCGTTTATCTAGCAGTTCTGATATTCTTCTTTACGTTGCAATTCTGGTATCGTTTTAGGATGTAGACAAAACAGGTTGAAATGAGCATTAATATTGCTTGAAAAGCGAGACGTTAATGAAGAAACTAACGAATCCAGAGACCAATGTAAACCGTGTTCTTTTATTATCCCAAAATGCAAACATCTGGTTTTTGCTCGGTGTGTCTGTCGACTGCAAATTTTCGGCAGCACCAACTCAATACCAAGTTTGTCTGCCAGCAGTGTCGCCTTACTCAGCATGCCATCCCTGAAGTGTTCCTCAGAATGGTCATGTTGGTTTTTGATTATGTTAATAATGTGACTGCCGATGTGCTGTTAAGCGGCTACTTATGCTACGATGGACAGACTGCAACATCACGGAAACTGGTTCAAGAACAGGTGAATAGTTGACGACAATTAAAAGGCAAATGAGAAACTTACGAGAAGCAGACACTGATTACGCATCTGCAGTCTGTACACCAAGCAGTCAAACATCTTCTCAAAGTTGTGACTTAAAGCGCGAATGAATTCGTATTTCACAGTCTGTCGTGTCTCACACAAACGAGGTAAATTTAGCACCAACAGCATTACGGATATCTGAAACGTCATTCAGGTCATTAATAACAAGGTTAGGTCTGTGAAATACGCAATAGACTAAGGCTGCTTTTGGATATTTTTCACGAATCCTTGCCTGAACACAGTAATGAAATGCTAGAAATAGAGAATCTTCTTGATGACACCAACAACATTACATATATCTGAAACGTCATTCCGATCAATGATAACAAGTTTAAGTCTGTGGGACGCGCAACGAACAAGGTCTGCGTTTGGATATTTTTTCTTTAATCCTTGTCTGAACACAGTGAATGCTAGCCATCATGGGACAGCCATCGTAGCCTTGGCCGAGTAGTTTGTCCATGTGTAAAATGCACAAAATGCATTCGCTGACAATGCCGTTGGACACAGGCAGTGAGTCTATCTTAACACCAGGGACGAAAAACCAATGAGTTCTTTTCGCGTACAATAGTCATCAACAAATCTTAAGCTCAAACACATCTGTTCAGTGCCAGAGATATCTACATTTTCATTACCGAAATACCAAGAAAACGCAGTCAATTCATGCTGCTGCTGCTCGTATATTTTTGTTTCTGCTGCCAGTGCTCCGTCGACACAAATCAACGTTTTGACTCAGATGGCATGGGAAGAACTTTTATATTTCTTCTATTGTAAACTGGTGGACGTGTTTCACCTGCTATTTTATCGAGCGCTAACACTGACCACAACTCCGTAAGACGTAAATACATTGACCAAGAGGACTGCACTCTTCAATCTTGGTCAAAGAAACTTTCCCATATATTAAATTGAAAGAAATTTGGCAAAAGGATTTTTCCTCCAAGACAAAAAAACAACAACAAAAAAAACAACAAATTTTTATCCTATTCTAGGCCTTGACTAAATATAATTATAACTATAATTATGTGCAAATGAAAACAAATCGTAATGACTAATGTGCTATAGACTATTGAATTGCAAGCCTATAATAAAGCGCACATTTTTTAAAGGCGTTTTCGAATGTTGGACTTATGAGCGAATTTTTTCGATACTATAAACATTAAAAAATAAATAAATAAGTCGATAGTAAAATAGAATTAAACGAAGCAAAAGAAAGTAGGTCTATATCTCTCAATAAATTCAACCAGTCTGATTTAGATTGTTTTACCTGCTGTAAGCTGAGACATCCTGGATATGATTCGCTATAGCAGACTTGCTGGGGAATCTGATGCTGAGGTTCCACGTGTGGAAGGTGGTAGTGGTTCTTCTGCATGGGCTGATGCGTCTGCTGGTTTTCCTGTTGATGTGGACGTGCCTGGTAAGCGCAG